ATTACACACGCATGGTTCGCGGTTCGAACCCGGGGTAGATAAACGCCAAAGCCTACCAGGCTTCCATCCCTTAGGGTCGATTATTTGGTACCACATTCGTTTGAGAAGAATTAAACCTTTGATATGAACATCACCCGGCCTCGCAAGTCCTTGTATAGACCGAATATGCACTTAAATCACCACTACGATTCTGAACGGAACTCAAATGCGGGGCGCATTCCAAAAAGAGATCGATTATATCCATGGGCTTTATTCTTTTCCTTTTGTATTAATTTTATTCATCACACTCATCACTTATGATTATATTCATATTTTAGTGGTTTATTAGTGTAGTTGTTTATGGATCTTAACTGTTTTTCCATGTGTGGATGCACACATGTGGTAAACAAAGCCGTTAATTAACCGGCTTCCTCTGAAAACAGAAGCCAAGGCTGCGCTTCAGGATTGGGCAGGGTCAAGCACCATCCTTAGAGCCCACCAATACGATTACACCTCTTCAGTCCGTCCATAAATGCCTTGCCGCTATCTTCCGTGCCAGCGTGGACAGCGTTCACACTTCCAAACGCATGTCAACTCTACACGCACTTTATGGATATCGATTTTGCGCGCGGTAACTCCTTATGCATTTCAAGGTGCAACTTAAAAAGAATGTGAGACTACACCTGCCTATCTCTCCTGATTTTTTCAGGGGACTTTTTGTAACATCTTTTGAATTAGAATTTTACGGTTTTTTTGCAATTGTTTTTCTACTAAAGACCCGTCCTCCGCCATCCATCGTTATCCATCCCGCAGAACTTATTTTTCTCCTGCATTCATGCTATCATGAAGTTCAGGTATCTTGTGGTGTAATGCTTGAATCACCTTCAAGTGTTGCTTCCATCAATCTCAAGTCTCAAGCCGTATTTCCAAAATCGAAGTCGTAATAAGGTTACCCGAACTTTCCTCGGAATTCCCCAATTCCCATCCGACTCTCATTTTCTTTTCTTCTCCTTTTTTTTATTCGTTCGACCTAGAACGTCGGGTGAATTATTACAGCAATCGCCAGCGCAAAAGTGGGGGCTGATCGGACCTCGTTCTAATCGGCCCCCATTTTTGAATTAACGAGGAGGCATTCTCCAGGTCGTGGGACATCTGCCATCTATCCTCTAATCCTTTTACTTTGACTTCTTTGTTGGCTATTTTTAGATTTCACATTTTTGTAGGCTTAATTAATGTTTTGCCTCTAAACCCCTTCAACCCTTATGATTCCAAATGCTTCTGATTGGGAATAACTAGGAGAAGCCTACTGTACACGAATCTTGCTGAAACACACTTTGAAGGTATTGGAAGCACTTTCATTTTTATTTAAAACCTAAAGCATGAAAAAAACGTCTATAAATCATCTTAACAAGCCTGCCATTATACCTCACGTCAATTAAAATGCGTAGGGTGTAACGCTCACTTTTCTGAACCTATCGTAATCCATAAAACCATGTTTTTCTATGGTGAACCCTCTAAGTAACGCGGTTTTGTTTTTATTGATTTTGGTGGCAAATTAAATTTTTTGAAGTGTTTTCGCTTTTCTCATCTGGTTAGTATGTTCTACAATTACTTCGCGGTATGATTTTTGTGCTTTTCTTTTATTCTTTCGATTACCTTTTCTATTTTTTCTGATGTCTGAGCTGTAGAAAGAATAAATTGCGGGTAAGGACAACAGGAAGCGGAGACGTGAAAAGTAGCGGAAGGCGGAAATGTTTGCGCAACGACGATTTCACTATTTATTTGCCACTTTTTCATCGTATTGAATGCGAACTTTGAAGGGCATGTAGAGTTGAGTTTAACCAGTCATTCCAGCTCACAACACACCCATCCTAACTACCGGGCGACCTCGAATCGTTGCTTGGACTGGAGACTGGGTGAGGGGCCTCGGCTGGGCCACGTCCATCGATCGAGGAGGAGGAGAGTGGTTGGTGATGGTGGTGGTACACGCCGCTATGAGCTCGTTTTACCTCAAACAGCCATTTTCTTTGATCTTTCAATAGCCGCTCTATCGATCTTCTCAGCAGGTGGTTTTAGCCGAATACTCTGAACATCGTCCGCGTATTGCGACTGTCTATCAATCACCTCCCAATTCACTAATGTCTCGTCCGAATTTCTGACCAACACCAACAGCGCACTTCTTATCGTTGTTTTCGTATCTTTCTGCTCTTACGAATGGGAAAAAAAAGTCCGGTCCCCAATCAGAGATCAGTATTTTCATTCTTGCTACAAGGTTTCTTGTTAGAGTGTACTCAGCAAGATGTAGAACATAGAATACTTATCGATAGCCTTTACTGTTTTTTCACCCATAAAAGCTTTTTAAAGCAAGGTTTGTGGTATAGACCCAGTGCCTATAAATGTCGAAATCGATAGAAGAAAAGGTTTTCCTTTTGTCGATTCGCTAGGATGGTATTTCTCTGTCCCGAGCTTGTGATGGTCCGTCGTTTTAAAATGAATTATTTGTCGTTCGTCATAGCTTACACGCTTGATTCACTTTTTAACTGCATATATTTCTTTTTACGAGTCAGCTCTGGTTCTGAATGGAAAGGGCCTTCGTTTTGTATTATATTGTGTTTTGTCTTGTGTTTGACTCTTGCTTTATCTTCTAATTTCTTTGACTTACACTTTCAATTAAATTAGAATCTATTCTTCTTAATTCAGGGATTTTAGCCGCATTTGAGTTTAATGAGTTTTTTCTTACATCTTGAAACTTATTTCTATTTACTTTTACCCAATTTTCATGATAGTGTTGACCATTTCACTGTTCAGTCGCCTAGTTTGAAACGATTCAGGGAAATTCTTGGAATTTGCTCACCGAGACTGAAGAATGGAAATGCAGGCAGCACAGTTCTTTCCAATGTTTACTTACACTAGAATTACACCGGAAAATTTTGACCAGGAGTTTTCTTTTCCGAGCTCTCCCCTATCTGATTTACTTTCGACAAACATTTTCAACACATGTATTTGAGTAGGATCTTCTTTTCTTTTTCTCCTTTTCGACTTCAATGCGATGCTTTGTTTAAACCGTCGGGTATTCTAGATTCTAGAGCAGAGAAATGGCCGTCTGAAATAGTAATAGATTTCTAGAAAGCCATTTACTTTTTGCGTAGTCGACGCTTGAAGGAAAAGCTATAACCTTAAATATGCAGTGAATCTTTTTTTAAAAGGACGATTTCATTTCTGCAAACATTGCTCGTAAATTTCGCGGTGTAATAGAGAAGGCTAACATAAGAAGCTTTAATTCCTTCGACAATCGTAGGAGCTCCTACAATTTTATATTCTGGAAGTCTGAGCACCGTTTGCTGCTACTAGAATTTCCTTTTTGTGGATTTTCCTTGTTCGACTTTTTCTCATATTGCTAGACTCCATCCTCCTCATCATTGATCGTTCTGGACATCTGTATGTAACTGTACGGGTTTCCCTAATTGCAATGTGAAAGACTCGAGGGTGTGGGGTGGAGGGGGAGGGGGTAAATTGCTGTTCTCGTCGGACGGATCGTAGAAAACAAAGGCGTTTGCAAATAAACACACTCAGACACTCACACGCTGCTGTTCTGCAGCCGTTTGTGTCTGTGTGTGTAAAGTAATGCATCTTTTTCTGCACTTAAAAATCAATTATGGGAATTTTCCAGAAATATCTCAAGCGAATTCCGCATGTTTTTCGAATCCTCTCGAAACATGCGACCAGATACATACGTTTAAAGACATTGAAAAAAAGGCAAGGAAGATTACTTTCGTTATCGACTATAGTTCTTTTGTGTCGAAGAGTCTGTTTTAATAACCAGTTTCATGGAACTGGAACTAAACGGTAGTTATCCCAATCCGTATCTCTGCGATTTCTGTTCTCTCCGTAAAGCGCTCTTTGATCGCCGGTTTCGTTTTCGTCGAGCGCAATCGATCCACCCGGCACCAGTTTACCTCTCTGTGCAACTTGTATCGATTTTTTCGTATACTTGTAGGAAGGCAGTCAATTCGGGTACGCCGTCAGTATCGGTGGTAGCAAGCATTTAGCTGATGCTTGAACAGGAATTAGCATATCTACCTGAGGATGTTCGTGAACAGCTAGCGATTCTTGAATTGGAACTGAGCGAAGGTTTGTGATATGGATTGTTTGTTTATGATTCCTTTCGTCTTCCTCATATTCATGTTGTTTTTCTGCTTTTAAATTGATTTCTCATTAGTTGCTTTTTGCAATAATTTTCAAAATATATAAAATTATCTGTGTGACTGTTAGGAAGAATTTCACTTTTAATTTGAAATGTTCAATAACTGTACAATGAGGTTATAGCTTATTATATAATTGCGACTGTTTAATAAATGGTGATTCATGGGAACAGATGAAATTGAGGCTAGAATGCTTATTACACGCTCATCCAGATAGCGTTAATTTAAGTGGACTTAGCTCTCAGTGATCTTCACCGATTCCAACGATTTTACTAGAATTGGAATGCTCTGGTTTTCCATCAGTCGATTAGGCAGTCACCCTTCCGATGGTATTCCACGATTTAGGGGAAAATTCACAAAATCAAACTATTTTCCATCTACCAAACCTCTGTTTATCTAATTTCGATTCTGAAATTGGCAAGGCTTCAAGTCATCCCATCTCCAAATGAATGGTCATCATTATACATTGGGTTTCAACCTCATTATTTAGAAATTGAGTACGCGATTGCAAAAAATGCCATCCATTTTCTAAATGATGACTCTTTTATCCGTTAAATCGTCCTGTACACTGTGGCTAAATTTTCGCTAATAATATCTTATGAATTAGTTTTACAGGGTCTCTGGGAATGGGGCTTTGCTTTGAAGTTTTGTCGCTGTCAGTTAGAAATCGATAGGAGGGATGTGATAGTAGGGAAGGGATGTGATAGTAGTATGTAATATTCTTGGATGTGTTGCTTTATGTGCTATTTCAAAGAACTTGGCTGTTAACGGTTTAAAGTCAGTGAATGCCCCATAAAATTCCTTATTCATATTCATAGCTCTAAAAATTATTCAATATTCATGGCAATATTCTCTGCTCTGAATAGCTTTAAAATGAAGTCACAAAAACTTAAAAGTCTATACAAAGTTTATGAGGTCTAAATACCATTAGAATTATGATCAAGAAGAAAGCAAAGCATTTTAGGTGACATCACTCAAAAGGGCTACGAAAAGAAGCGAAATTTGATTCTAGCAAAGTACAACAAAGGGTGCAGCGCAGGTTAGCTGGCTCAATTGATTCTGTTCAGTCTTTTCTCTGGCGTTTTCGTTTTTTTTTTCTTTGTGGTCATAAATACCTGTCCAAGGCCAAATCGCGCTCGATCCGACACTTGCCGGATCCGAACGAAGCGCCATTCATCGTCGTTGTTTTGACCGTGGACAGTGAATGAGATAAATGACATCGGAGATTTCAAAAAACATCCCCATACCCATACTCCAATCTAGTTATTTTCCATGGTGGACTAACGAAGCGGTTCAGGGCGTAGATGAGGTTTTGTGGCACTGATTAGCGTATTACTGGGTATCCCTGCCAGATTCGTGTTTATGCATCAACCAGCTAGTTAGCCTAGCAGTATTATCCCGAGTTCGTTTTGTTTGTTAAGGTCCTGGTCAATCGAAAGGAAGCCCAGGTTCACGTGCCCATCGACAGCACCAGCGACGCCTCACACGGGATGAGTCACGTTTTCACTCCGGTAAGTCTGGCACACGATGGCATACGATATCAGTTTTTTATTGCATGGCCGTTCGGCGTTATTTAACCCTCTTTGTTGGCATTGCTCACTATTTTACCTACATTTAATTATATTGGCAATTGTCTCCACAATGACGTTGAGAATCATATTTGTTTCCCTGTCTGACAACTTCTAGGGCTACTCACCTAGTCTTGAGGATCCCATCCAATAGGTGGTCATGCTTCCCAAGCCATGTGGCCATGAGCGTTTTAATAGTTACTGCTGGTATATTACAGCCAACCAAAAACTGCCGAGCATCCGCAAGCCCTGTCAGAGAGGTTTAGGCGGAGAAATAAAACCATCCAAAAAACTTGTGGAATAGGGTAGACGAGAGCGGCGAGCATGAAGTGATGTTCATTCCTGCTTCAAACTAATGTAGACTTTTAATTCACGCCTTCAAAGCATTCCTAGATCTTTATCTAGGCCAGCTTGATGCAAAAAGATTGCGGTGAAACTAGCGTGGCTTAGGAGTGCGGCTTTGGACACTGAGATGAATCTCGGTGCGAACTCGAACCGGCCTCAGCACTCTACAGTTACCTTTCGTTGAACTCGCACCCCTCTGTTGAAACCCACAAATTTTGATAGAGCCAACAGAGGACAAAATCACAGGAAGAATAACGATTTATATTTTCTGATTGTTGACGCAGAATCGGGCCTCTATTCGTTGTATTCAATTTAAGCTTACATTTATCGCTAGCAGTACCAGGTCATGCGCCATTATATTCATTTTACACAGCAGGCATCTGACATCACTGGTTAAGTGATCATTGCCTTCAACTGTTTTATTAAAGTAGAGCTGTAGTGCGATCATGTGCTATGGCATCACAGGGTTCTGGGCATTCTCGTTCTCGAGTCCCCAGTGATGATCCGCACCTCTTTTATTGGTAATTTTAATTCCGTTGCATTACCGACGTTGGGTGTTCTCGTAAATGTTCTTATTCGCATTTCCATTAAAGTGGCATTCCATTCTTTACGGCTTCCTTATGAATGATGACTCACTCCGCTCCCATTACGGTAATTTATCATCTACATATTTCCTATCATTTGCGTTGATGAGGTGTAACATCGCTTCGTCAACGCAGATGATATTAATGATATCATTTGGAGTTGATGAAGCAAATTTATGCTTTAATGTAATTATAATTGTTGTAATCCAATAACTTTCATTTCAGAAATCCGAGCCGAAGCTGTGCAGCAAGCACTTGCCGAATACTCCCAAGGTTATAAAGTGCGTCCTGGTATCGTTCAACCAATCAAGCGCCCCACGGAAACGCGTAGGCGGTGTAGTCGAGCATCTGGTGTGTCCTTTGTCAGCTTGTTGTCAAGTTATCTTTGAGTTTTCAGTGTGACCGCTGATAACGCTAGATTATTTCGTCAGCTCAAATTCGTTGCAGACTCGTCTTCCGATGATGACGACAGCCTTGTGGGTTCATTAAAGCGGAAAACTCAGCCATCAGGAAAGCAAATTTCTGAATCAGGTGCGATTTTGTTGTTGCTATTGGTTGCATTCATTGAAATCCCGTAGGAAATTTCGCTAAGCACTCCTTCATGCGTAATTGTAATGTAATAGTAATAAGAAAGATTCTTACACAATTTCTTTCAAAGAAGGTCTTTTTGGTGAAATCTATTCCAGGCCGATGAAAAACAGATACCCATTGAACCGGTCTGTATTGTAATCTTAGCGAAGCCACGGAAAACATTCATACTGTTTGAATTCTCTTCGAAATTCACCTGTGCTCCTATTTCACTACGTTTTCATTTCAATGTTCGTGTGGTATTTCCTAGGGCAAATTAAGAGCTTCCAATTGATTTCCGGGCCCGGTAAGCGGTTATTTAGAAATAGGTTCCCTTCGTCCTCGGCTTCAGCGCATGGAATCATTCTAGCTTTTTTCGTGCCTCTGTTTTGATGATTGGGCTGACAGTTTTTTCTACCGGTAAAGCTCATGCGATTTATTTCATGGTGGTATTTCTCTCTCACGTCATACAACTCCTTTCTTTCGTCGCATTCTCAGTCAAGTTCAGGCAGACCTTGCCTGTATGTATTGATTTTCCATGATTTTCTCTCTTTCCCTAATAGACTTTAGGATGAAATGAGTTCAGGTCCTTTTTTGAGCTCCTTAGCGATCTTTAAGCTGTGTACTTCTGTAAGAGGTTTACAAAAGCTGATAACTATCATCATAGGCGTACTCAATGTTTTCAATCAAATGTACTATATAGCAAGGGAGATGTTAAGGTGTTCCAAGAAACGGAAACTCAAAGTGCGTTGCACCACCGGATGTCACAGGAGGTGCTGCTGTGGAAGCGATGCTCCGAAGAGTGCGGGAAGAACACGAAATCAAGCTAAGAGTGAGTCATTACTTCTTTTTATATGTGGTATCCCCATTCCTAACATTTTCTGAATTCACTTCGAACAGTTGTCCGATTTTAACGATATTGTAAACCGCCTCACGGTTTCGAAAGGATATGAGTAGCGAAACTGCCAGGCAACAATAGCGAACGTTTTTCTTTCATAAAATGAAAGGGGTATGAGCGTGCAGCGCATTCATTGATCGGCATTCATTACTAGTTCCAGCACCTCATGGCTTCATCTAGGTGTTTAGTTAGGCTGGGACAGGTACGGCTTTTAGGTGCTCCTGGTAGTCGTCCTAACTGAATAAACTTAAATTTTCTATTTCAAACTGGTGTCGTTTTAGAACCAACGAGAAGCAGAATCTCAGCCAAAGCCCACAACACCGCGGTCCCATGACAAGGGTGGAGATAGAAAGTCGATCATCAAGTTGGAGATCAAGAAAGAAAGCGATGAGGATGCTGACAAGGTAATGATATGTTCTTTTTCGAAAATTTTCGCTTTCTCATATTGGCTTTATGTTTTTTGTTACACCGGGTGGAAGCGGTGCAGTGCTCATAACGATCAGCTACTGCTAATGCAACCCAGGCCTCACTGATAGTCTCGGAACTGCGAGAAAGTGAATCCCTGATTGTATAAGCATTAGGTACCTTTCCTCTTTTCTATGATCCGTCGATTGGTTAAGATGAAGGCAGACCCGGAGGGGAGCATTACATGGAGTAGGATTATTAGGTGAAAGATGCCAAAACGAATTTTCATTTGTTCTCTCTCGTAGTAGGGTAGATCCAAGTTCAAATGCCAATACGCGAATGTCAACGGTCAAAAGGTTCGTGGCGCAACCAAAAATTAAGCCCCAACACCTTCCATCCTATCAACTCTTGTTAATTAGACTGATTTGATGTGATAATGCTGTTGTTTGGCTTCGTATCTGCCATGGTTTTAAACTACATGCTGCATTTCGTCGATAGTTCTCATTTCCTAGTGGAAAGAGAAAAAGTCAGTGAAATTGCATTTGGGTGGCCGGAAATTTGAGAAAAAATCTGTGAAATCGCTATTAATTATACATAATCCGGTACAAAAAAGTTGAGTTGATGCGTCCTCATTTTCCAGGGAACATTTTTAATTCATTTTCATTTGTGATTGAATTACTGTATATTCGAGTAGTTGCAGTTGGCGAATTTTATTCTCATTGTCCGTTTCAGGTTACGCGTTTGATCGATGAGGTCGTCTATGTGAACCAGGAATGCGTAAAACCAACCGATGGTCGTACAACTCCACCCAATGCGAATTACCAGAATGCCGTTTTTTGTACGTTAATCCGATCTTTTCCTCATAAAATATGGAGAAGGAGTAGAAATAAGTGCGTTGGAATGAATTAAAGTTAGTTCATGTAACAAGTTTCCTAGAAGAGTGGAAAAAGAATTTGTAAAACGTTTCAAAATATCGGTGAAGCTAGGAGTTATCTGAGAATAGTCCTTCACAAGATTGGTTATGTGGCTGGCTTGTTTGGTTATGTGGCTGGCTTGTTCTGGAATCTACGATTGGTAGCATTTTTGAAGGAATCTATAAATTTTACTAATTCCGACGAAGGAAAGAAAGGAGACAGGGTTTGATTTGTTGGTGATAGACTGCCGTCGCAATCGGTGCGCCGTCGACGTTCTCTGCCTCTTAGCCACTCTTGAAACTTCGATTTTCTCATTCTATTCTTCTTATTTATCCATTGTACTGATGTCTGTAGATTTTGATCAATTTTCACTTTTCGCTCACTTTTTCTCATTAATCAGCTGTCGCTAATGACTGGAAAAGTCCGAAAAAATATGAGAAATTTCAAAGAGTAATATATTTCTTGACTTCACCTTTGAATTCCAATCCCAATAGTGAGGTCGTCTAAGCTTGACATCGGCTTTCAGCTTGTGCCAAAATAATGTTCGATTGAACTTCATTCGTGATCGTAACCAGCTCGGTACTATTCTCCAAATTGGATTTATTCAAGGGACTGATTAATTTATAGGGGATTCAGTCGTGTGGACTCTGGTTGTAGTTTCATCGCTACACGGGTGCTTCTTATCGCGTTGTCTGATTGCCTAGTCCTGTCCCTTTCTATATGTTATTTCAAGCTTATCGTAACTATTTACAATTGCTGTTCATTTGCCTTGTTTCAAGATCCCCTCTGATANTTTTTTTTTATCGCGATCCCTATTGTATGTTCTGTTTCATCGTCGGGTCTTGGCTGAGTGATACTTTCATCGCAGACCAGAAACGAGGGCAATAAGCATCGTTGGCAGGTCTATTCTAATTGATGAGAGTTTTTCATGAGGATCAGTTCTCGTGAAAAGACCTCCTGTCTACAGTCCGACTATTTTGTCCTGAAATAAAATCGATGTTAATTTCATGCTTTACAATTGAATTATGTAAATTGAAAGTGGTCGCTTTTCAACAATATTATTTCAGTGCAAAAGAAGCTACCGAAGCTGTCACAAAAGCTCCAACAAGTGGTTAACTGCCTTCAGGTATGTTTTCGTTTCTCAGTTGAAATGGTAGTTCTGTTGGCGGGTCTCTATGCTACTGATTGGTCCGATGTTCATTGATGAGAATATGGTTAGCTGAGGGTGATGGTACCGCTACCAAAAATCTTTTGATTATTAGTTTAGTTTTAGCCGTTACTAGGTATCCCATAATCAAGCTGTGGTAGAAACTGTTGCTCGATTCGGTTTGTTTATTTGCGAAGACCTGTTGCAACGATATTTTCCTACCTTATGGCTTATCACTTATTTGAGTTTCGCCCTTTTGAAGTGAAAATGTATTCAATTCTCACCTTCTCACCAGTGTCGCATGAACATTCATGACAGGAAATTCCCTGATCAAAAAATTTATGCTTCATTTGAAGAATAATCGGAAAAGTGATATGATATGATTAACTTGAATGAGGCGTAACTTTTCTCAAGTGCCTATCTTTACTTTTACTTGCTTTCTTTTGGTTGACTGTGGAGGTTTCGCAGTTGTCAACTTTTGGTATAGGCAGTCGTCTGAGAAGTGGCCGTGGCTTGAAAATTTGCGGGCATCCATGGCAGATTTCTTGAACGCTGGAAAATGTGACCATTACTGTTTTGCTTTTACCAGATCGTTCCGATACAATCTTGAGTTTCCTCTTAGATGGGCATAGATACCAATCTAGCGTATTAACATTCCAGAGTGAATCTTGCAAAGAGAATTGCTTCTTATCTTTACGCTAATCTAATGGCGTATTATCGGGAGTAATCCGCTCGATACCCTCCCGACGTACCTTCCAGGAATTACAACTTCCATTTGGTCCAATTCAAAAGGATTGGAAACAGTTCCACTCACTATTTTGCATCACAAATTTATGAGCTTTGTTGGTGAAGAGTTGTTTGGTTCAATAGTGGAGCCCATTACATATGAATTACGCCCTTGTTGGACGAGCTCCCCAGTGACTTTCGATGAGGCACTGGAGTTACTTTTTGGGGAGTAGAATAAGTGAACACTGCACATAAAATCGGGGCCACACCCGACCACCGCCTTTTTGGCTTGTTGGAAAGTAATTCCAAAAGTAATCTGGTCATATGCATTTTATAAAATTGAGAAATGCGTAGTTTTATAAACTTCTTTTTCGTAAGTTCAGGGCACCCATTTTGAGCGTTTCATCGGAGTACTGCATAACCTTTGGAGGAAAACTCGACTTTTTGTGTAGCAGTGCTTCCAAGTAGCACTCAGTTGTTTCAGAAAAGTAGAGATACCCGCTTCCTCTCACAGAGCGAGTTGATTCCAAATGTTATGATCTCCAAAAAATTATTTCTCTTCGGTGAAAATGAAAAGTAAATAAATTTCTGCATAGGCCTTGCAGATGATGCGAGTACTTGCCATCATCCTCTCATCACGGTTTTTGATGGGTGTAATTGTTAATCTCCATCAATATTTGCTTTCTTTTTTCTTTAGCATTTTCTGTGGTAGGGGTTTGAGAAGAATGGTGTTCCTTTTTTGTACGAGATTGGAGAGGGGTTGGGTTGCATTTGGAGCGCAGAAAAATCAAGTTCTTTATCGGGATATTAGAAACTGAAAGTGGGATATCATTCGACCTGATTATAATTCTCTCGGATTCTCCGAATTCTGCTCTGATTTTTAAGAAAGGTGACTGATAAGGGGTGTGACTTCGCTCAGCATACAAAGTGCTTGCGATTTTTTTTNCATTTGGAGCGCAGAAAAATCAAGTTCTTTATCGGGATATTAGAAACTGAAAGTGGGATATCATTCGACCTGATTATAATTCTCTCGGGTTCTCCGAATGCTGCTCTGATTTTTAAGAAAGGTGACTGATAAGGGGTGTGACTTCGCTCAGCATACAAAGTGCTTGCGATTTTTTTTCGCGTACTCATCATTGTGTGATTTTCTTAGATAACGAAGCGTTTTTCCAGCTGATTTTTACATTTTCTTAACAATGAATACTTATGGTTAGATCCTAAGGGGATTAGACGTCGTTATTATTAGTGATGGTGTTTACCTTGCGCATTAGTGATTAGTATAGAGGTGAAGGTGGTGTTCGTGGTGGTTCGATACGTTGATTGCTATTGTTGGTGAAGGGTCATATCGTCGTATCATATTTCACGCTTCATCAATCGTGCACCTGTAGTCCTTTATTGCGCCCAGCAGCGGTGTTAGGCCAAGGCAAGGGACCAGTTCTCAATGGAATTCATATTTGTTAGAGGCTTGATTCTTCTATTCCAGTCAAGTGCTGGAGCCCTGTGTCAGAAATGAATGCGAGTGGAAGGCTTCAAAAAAGGAAAAGTCAAATTATGGGAAAAAAACAAATTGCCTAAAAAAAAGCAGGGAGACTGCTACAAAAGTTGTTGTCCGAGACGAGAAAATGGACCCTGTCGATTCCTGGCTTTGATTATAGAAGCTAAGAGAGAACTTTACATAAGGGTTAATGATGTTCACCTTTTATTGACTTATTTTCTTATATTTTTTCAATTTCAATTATTTTTTATTCCCAAAAATTAAGATTAGTCATTCTCATTCAGTCTATAATCGGCGAACTATAGTTTGAAGACGTCCAGCTAGGTCTATTTTGAAGTGAAGGAATCAGAAAAATCTCGGAAAGTGCGCATCAATTACGAGGCAGTGTTCGCTGAAAAAAAGTGTCCCCAATTTCCATGCTCATGAAATTATTTTCGACTAGGACAAATATTTGCGCCATATTCCTTGCAGAGGCTCGTATCAGGGTTCGAGTTCTTTTTAATTTTTTTTAGTTTCCACTTAAGCCATCGTAAGGAACCCCGCAAACATATCTTCATTCTTATCTGTATTGATTCATTCTTTTTCTTTAGCGAATGCTTTTTTATAATACTCTTACTTTTCATATCGGAATTTCGAAAACAACGAGGTAGGTATAGAATCTAAACATTGAAATAAGTATGATGTAAATTTGGTTGCTAAAAAGTTAGCCTAAGGGAACGGCGATAAATTTTTCCTTTCTACTCAGGTGACCACGGTAGTTTTGTTCAAACAACATGCTGCTTCCAAATACGGTATGCTGGGTTATGTACTTTGGGGGCGTTCGAGATAGCAGCCTGCAACTTTGCAAAGGTTTTTGTGAGCTGCCGATTGTTTATATAACGCGCCCCAGTGTATGAAGCGAAACTCAAGAAGTGTATGACTTTTTCATCACGGGATAGGCGAAAAACAAACTGAAAATTATGTTAGGCAGGGGCGTGGTGTTTTTCCAGACAAGCTTTCTGTTGAACCCATATTCGTGTTTAAAAAATAAATCGAAATATTAACAATTGGGCAAGAATAGAATAAATTTTAAAAAAACTTCTAATACGTTCTCGGTGATTGTAACGCTTACATCACCCCTTCACCTCCCTCCCATGGCTTTATAACGAAATTTCTTTGCGAAATTGGAATGGCTTTTTTTATGCCTCGTAGGCCCTATCAACCCAGTCGATTGCTAAAAAATGAATTCGGAAAATTGAAATTGAAAAAAATCGGCTGTTGAGTATTCTTAGCACGTTATGGCGTTCGTCTTTGATTTTTGAGGGCTTTATGCGTCAGTTTTATTTTTGAAATTTATGACGTCGGTACTGTTTCAAATAAGTTTTAGGATAATTTTAGGATACAAAACAAAACATCAAGTCAAAACAAATTTTGGGATAGTTTTTGTAAGTGGAACAATAGCTACCTTCAAGGATCCATCTGTCAGTCATATTCATATCTAGCATAATCGGTTTTACTTCTTAACATTTCCACGGGAAAATTCTCCGCGAGCTTTGTGAATGGGGTTTCGAAGTCATTAGAGACTTTGGAAGCTACCACTATCGGCTTTGGTGATGTTTTCAAGGAATTTGTAGTGTTTGAAAGTGTGCGGTGTGCTTGAACTTTGCCTCCTTTTTTTGCCATTCATGAACTTGAACTTTTAAGTTCAATTTTCTTTGCAAACGGTAGGCGAGAACCACCATTCTACCAGAAAGATCAGGAAGCTTTTTGCTGCCTCAGGATCAGTCCATTACTTGTCGCAAGCGTTGCGGATTCCCTCTTCAAGAAGGAGGCGCTGGAACTCGAAGAGGTCTGCGTTCTATCATTTACCTCCGATCGAGTGGGCTTCCTCTCCACCCAAAAAAGCAGAGGATGGCTAAAGAGCTAGTAATTGGAAGGAGCTGGATAATGACTAACAGCCGTAGCACTTCAATTCGGCCGAAAAAGTTCAGCTTCTCCCTGTTATCTCTTTGTTCGAAAACCAACCCTCAAAACAAGTTCTCATGGTTTTCATTGGTTTTGAAAGCCATTATGTAAGAATCCAGGCATAAAGTGGGAGTGGACGTCGAAGCGGCGTCCAGCGGCTATTCCCGAAAGTTCTCGTCGATCGGCAAAGAATGATGGGTGTGTCATCGTGATGCATTATCGTTGGGATATTTTTTTTTCTGACGGGTTGTAAAGAAAAATTCCCGGAATCTCTCACAGCAGCTATTGAAGGATTGCTGTTCCCTATATTGCTTCCAGATGAGCAAAGACCGGTGATATGCAGAACATCAAGAATGGCAAGAGCTCAATTCCTGGATGATTCTCTCAAAATCATTCTTATGAGTGGTCAAAGTGACCTTTTGGAAGTAGTGTCCCATTGCCATAAACTAAACTGATTCACTCTCCCCCTCGAATTGTAGTTATCCATACTTCTGAGGTACCGTTGAAATCAATATTTCTCAGTGTCTTAAGAGTGACGTATCGTTTTTTCGTGAAGACAATAACGATCATATGAAATCACCGAGTGCAAACCACTTGTGAGCGACTTTTTTCCCAACAGCCAGCTTAAAGAATCTCGACAGCGGTCCGAATCCCATGCGTTCACCATCTCGGACATGGTAGCTCTAGCAAATCGAGTGAGCCAGTCAGCCAGCCAGGAGTCAGTGTAACTAGCCAGAGGGGTGGCGGCCAGCCGGCTGCAGTCGGCCGTATTGTCATGTGCTGACTATCATACCAAGTGTTCTATCAACACCAATCGCATATGCCGTTCTACTGTGTGCGACCTGATGGACAATACTCATCGCTTCATGTTTCCCACATTAGCTCTTGCTCAAACTGGGAAAACCGGAGCGCCGAAAAGAGTTTCGGTAAGCGAAAATCATCGAGACTATCTGGCTCATTTACATAGCCGTAAAGCTGCAGCACTCAGAGAGAAGCGGACCAGATCCGTTCGACGATACCTATGGGATTCGTTGGGATTCGATCTATGCGAACTTGAAAGTGTACTAAAGCATTGCCGCTGGAAACCTTCTGTTGCTGTGGCAAGTATCCGTGACGAATCCTTTGAAACAATCCGAAAAGCACTGAAAAAGCGTCGAGTGTCAAGTTTCATCCCTCAGTATGTTCCTGAAGAAGTCTGTCCACGTCCTTCTCTCAAGGAACATGATATGGTTTTATTAGAAACGGCTAGCTCGTCGAAAGAATCATCTGATAAGGAGGATGAGTCTCCATCTGCTACTCTTCGCATTGGCTATAATGGCAGGATTAACGTCCATGATTTGCCACAGAGACGGCTCTTGGAGAAGAATTGGGTTAGTTTCTCAGGTTTTTGATCTTTATAGAATCTTTTTCGACGTTGTTTTTGAGATTTTATATCCATTTTTCCTTCGAAGTACTTTTATTTCTGTTCTTTTTATTTGTTAAACTTGCTCTGTGGCATTTTCTTTTTATAAAACTGTCAAGCTCTCCGATGAAATNCCCTTCGCATTGGCTATAATGGCAGGATTAACGTCCATGATTTGCCACAAAGACGGCTCTTGGAGAAGAATTGGGTTAGTTTCTTTCAGGTTTTTGATCTTTATATAATCTTTTTCGACGTTGTTTTTGGGATTTTATATCAATTTTTCCTTTGAAGTACTTTTATTTCTGTTCTTTTTATTTGTTAAACTTGCTCTGTGGCATTTTCTTTTTATAAAACTGTCAAGCTCTCCGATGAAATCCCGATAACGGGGTAGACTATACTTTTAACAGTTGCTGATCCATTTTGATCAATTGTTACTGTCTTTCTGTTTTTCCCTTCTAGATTTTTTTATTATCACTCTTGAAAAGAGCCAAAAATCGAATACTTAGGAATAGCGGTTGATGAAGTCAAGTACTTTCTTCCTCTAAGTGACTAGGATCAGTCAGTCGGTCACCGTAATCGTGATCATCGTCGGAAATACCTCAGCCGACTAAGCGATCCGCAATTTGGGGTTTGCGGAGAGTATGACCTGGTTTTGTACTAGTACAGAGAGGATTATGATCTAATTGCTGTGCAATATACGCTGGTAATATGGCGACGAGACTCGGAGCCTCCTGATTGGTCTTAGACGGTCCTTTCATTTTGTTTTCAGTCATTTCCATCTCTCACTGCAGCTAATCGATAATATAACGATTAGGTTATAGGGTATACTTCGGATTAGTTTTCGACAATATTTGTATTTTGGTACTTTTTCGAGGTTAAAGTTGAAGCGTTCACTTCGAAGCGAGTAGAAAATGTCCAGGATTTGTGGATGTTTGTCGATTTGCCCAAGCATGTAATATGATCCGTTTCTTATGGTCTGTCGACAGCAAACAAGGTTCAAGAGAGGATAATCTGTTATGTAACATTAGAGGAAGAGCTTTGAAAGAATTTTTCGAACAATTTTTCAGCCTTTTTTAAATAGTGGGCTAGTGGGCCATCAGGCAGTACTTACTGTAATATAAATGTTCACTGTTTTTCACATCACAGAAGGCATCAATTACAATTACATCCGAAATTAATTTAGTGATTCAGTGAAAAATTGCGATTTGATCAATACAATTTAGTTATCACCTGTTTTCATTTGATTTGAATTTTATTCAAGAAGTTTCTATGTCAACTTTCCACTACTTTTTCCGATTTTTTTTTTCCACATAGAAATCGAATTGAAAGTGAAATTGGTCTATTAGTATCCACTCATCGGACCTGTAAATATCCGTCACATTTTTATGATTACATCTGAAACCCAACCGAACTCTTTCAATTTTCACATTTTGTTTCCATTTTTGTCATATTTTTTGTACGAAGAATCGTTGTTTGACAGAATTCACTGCATCGTTTCTTTTTGCATTGAACTATGGATATGTTAACCTGACAGATCCTTATAGTCTTGGATTAAGCAAGTAAACGGATTCCTTCGCTTCCTTTCTTTTCTCAAGGACTCAGCATGCTTTTATCCATTGAAAGTTGACAAAAGCGCCATTGAAATCGTTTTTTTCTAGAAAATTCTTTTTTTTTTTTGAATTTTCTTCCTTTTTGTTGATAGCAAAAAAATTGACACGATGTCTTTTCATTATTCATATAAGATCGCAGACAAGACGGTAATGGCGCGTACGGTTGCGAGGCGGTTTGTTGGGAATTCTGAGATATTAATCCATGTGTAAGATTCACGTCATGGGTTTGTTCATGCATGCTAAGTGCTAAATATACAGTATCCCTTGCTGTCAATCAAAACATGTGTTAGATACTATAAAATTGATGACCATTCTTTGGATACGTTGAAGGGGTTATAAATTGACGAATAAAAATGGTTCGATGGAAATGATTGTAGTTCCTTAACCTTTCATGCAAATTTTATTGTTTTACTTTTGTTTTTTTTTTATTTTATATGACATCTGTTTGGTTTTCTTGGAATAACGTCATCAATAACAGTTTGGCATGAACTTGAACTCATCAATAGCAGTGTGACATGAACTTGAACTTATCAATGGCAGTCCGGCGTGAACTTGAACTTTTAATTGCGGCTTCTATCACCTCGTTGATCATGGGGTCACGTGCATGCAGATGCAGATTCATTTTTCTTTCCCTAGGCGCAAAGTGGAAAAATGGATGGTGCCAGCCAGTTGCTGATTAAATTCTATGGCTAATCTGGATAAATCTCTAGAAACTCGCTATACTATAATATTAAATACTCAATTTTGGAGTAGTTTGATGAATTTTACATTGAGTATAATTTTGAAAAGGATAGTCAAGAAACAAGGAAATAAAAAAGGGGTAGAATGACAGCGGGAAACGTCAACTCCTTCATTAGATTAACTCGTCCGGAAGCAATGAACATAGATGACAATTTGTGATGAAGCAATTAGAGCGTGAGATTTGGAAAGCTTATTTCTGATTGTCAAACAAAAGTTTTAAATTTCAGAGGCCAAGCAGTCAGCCATTGCAAGAGTACTATAAGGACTACGACGCTGAACTGGAAGGTAGGGGAAGTTTCATTTCCTTTTTCATTGTCACCTGTAGCCTTATCAACGCCTTTGAGATGCGTCACGCTTTCATTTTTCATAAAAAATCTAGAGATGTTTGGATGAGTATGAGCTCTATGCAGTAACTTGTAGGGCTGACCCATTTTCTTTACTACTTTTGACAGACTATTGTCAAATGTCAATACCGATTTTGTGACTTTGACTCATTGTTGACTGTAGAGGTGATAGGTAAAGAAAGTTATCATCTTTTGTCATTAAAAATTTTGTGATGCGCCATGCAATCAGCGAATAATCGAAATCGCAAAAGTACTTCAATTTGTACGCCCTTGGATTGATTTATAGAACTCATTCGGGACTCAGATCTTTGTTGACACTATAAAATAAGCCTGAGCAGTCAGCTGTGAATTTAATTGCACTGTCACAGTATCAGATCTCATCAATAAGTCTGGACTGATGGTGGAATCGGATATTGAAATAGCTGAGTGCGATTGAGCTTGTTTGTCTTTGCACGGAGATGTTTTCAAAAATCCGTGCAATGTGCACGATGAGAGGTTCCGATGAAGAAAAGAATGATCAGATCGAGGATTTCTTGTTTAGCCGGAAATATCAAATATATTTTCTGTCTACTGACTGTTGCTGAAATATTTGTCGAATGCAAGTGGAAAGAAAGCAAATCATTGCTGTGTTCTGCAGGGATTTATCATTTGAACAGGTGCCTTGTTGGAATGTTCATTCGGGCAAGTGACATGTGTTTGATGGAGATGACACGATAGCAGGAATAGTTGTTTTGATGAAGGTGGCATCGTAAAGCCAACTAAAAGATCGAAGTACGGAAGAGTAAAACTTGCTTTTGGGAACTCTAGATAGGTAGTGAGCAATCCCATAGTGAGAGGACCATGAATTTTCATAGACGAATTTTAGTCCACTATTCCGTCCAGGCTCCAGGCTTCCGAAACTTTTATGTAGGTAAAGCTGGCGTCAAACGAGTAGTGAAGCTGTCATAGTGAAGCTTCAGAGTGAACGAGGCTGTATACAGCATCGTTCACTCTGAAGGTGAATAACTCAATTACGCGACTGTCGGAGGTTCGTAAGGAGGGCTCCCCTTTGCACTAGCATCCCTATCCGACAAAAACTGGGATGGTTGTCCAAACCAGCAAGGGTTTTTTTGGGCATCCGGGCGCCTTATAATGTTTCTTCTGTGTGGCTAGTACCTAGTGAGCTACATGCCTCCTAGTCAGACTTTTTTGCCCAGTCGGAAAACCTGCTGCATGTCCTTCAGCCTGGATTGGGACTCATAGGGTTACGCCGACTCGTGACATGAAGAAATTCCATGTCAACAACGGTGCCCATTCTGAAAAATTTAGAAATCGCCGGATAACCTGTTGGAGCTGTCTTGGCCCCTAGGAGATACTGTGCTAGCCTTCTACTATGTATGAGAATTAATGAGAGGGGGACTTCAAAGGGGCTGTTAAACTTTTTACTGTAAGGGAACAGCTTTCTAAACTGTAGTAAGGAGATGAGAAAACTAGTCGACACAATTCCCATCTGCAGTTACTTATTTCTTTTTCAATGCAGTAAGCCTCTTTTTATTCTTCTTTATATATACGCCCGTCTGTTGTTAATGCCATGTAATTTGACTGGTACCTGTCGGAGAAATGGCTAAAAGAACCAGTTTAAGCAGTTGCGAAGATGATCGATCCAGCGGCTCCACGACCGGAAGGCCAGTTAATGACTCCAGTTCGTGGTGACAGTGCGAGTGCTGCGACCCAAAATCATCCAAGAAGTCTGGATAGGTATGTACACTTTGATTAATGATGTTTTCAACAAAATATCAGGGAAGCGAGATAATTAATAATTTGTACTATTTTTCTGCCACGAAAATATCGGTTGGCCTGTTGTTAGTAGAGTAGTAACATGTAAACAAGGCACTGAAAACAGCTATTTATCTTGCTTGCATACTACATAGCTCAACTCAAGAGGGTTTACTTTGATGGATTACATCATTTCAAAAAAGTGTCTATGTAATGTAATTGTCCTTGTTTTTTTTGGGCTATTTTGCTTAACCATGCATTATTTGAGTATCTGCATTTTCATAGAAATGTTCCTGACTATTTCTAGTGGATTGTATCAAAATAAAGTTTTCAAATCAAAAACCAATTAAAGCCACTGAAAAAACCCATTTCTCTTCGCATTTTTGTCAGCTCATGTGCTTTCCAATTTTGAAGCGTCGCAATTCCCACCCCATGGCCCCATCTTTGTCACTAGCTGCCAGATATTATTATTTTCGTACGGGCCCCGCCTTGAATTTTGTATCAGATGCTGCTTAGGCACCCTACAGTTTAAAATCGACTGGTTTTTATTTTTAGTTAAATCCTTCATTTTACATTCAATTTTCATGAGTATTAACCCATTGACGACCATGACGTTTTGCGGGAAAAGCACCGCGAGGAACCGACGCGCTTTTCGTCCACTCTCCTGGTCCAGCATGACCATTTTTTTGAAGTTTATGGGAGATATTTATAAGTTTTCGGAATGTTCCTCCGAATGGGTTTGAAAAGAATGCCCATACTGAGTGATTATTGATCTTTTTTATAGAACCAGCACTCAGTTTAGTGGTCATTCAATTATGACTTCAAACATTACCAGGAATCGTTTTGGGGGGACTTTTACGAGCTCTGCATTTAGTCGATGACAGACAAAATGCTAATGACGATCGTCTTTTCGAAAAATCTCATTTTTTGAAGTTGTTCAACGAACGAAAAATTCACCAAGGTAATGTACTCCTTCGAAAAAACACCTTTACTATCGCAAGATTAGAAGATTTTCCAGGGTCACGCTTTGTGTGGTTTCATCTGGACCTGATGTAATGTTTTGAAAAGAAAATTGTAAAAGAAATGGAAATATAGATGAATAAAACAAAAAATACAACTGCAGTCCACATGTGGACTGCATGGTCGTCAATGGATTAAATATCTTCATAAGTTGCTCTGAGAGCTTCTATGATATTGTTGAAATGGTCATATCAAGAAGGAAAATTTTCGATATGACTTTCAGCGCTCTTCATCGATATGGCACTTCAACGCCGAAAAGTTTGGCGGGTATGGTATTGGATCAAACTGGTCGGCCCAATCAAAGTATCACTTATGGTATGGTTTTAGTGAACTTTAATTCCAGTTATCTAAGTCTTAAAGTTTTTTATTGTAAAAATGCTGAAAGTGCGCTAAAGAGCTTCACAGTTGAGAACTGGTGCTATTTACAACTTTTTTTGTTCTAGGGAAGTTGTTGAGTCGCGCTAATAAAGTCGCTTTTATGTTGTTAAACAAAACGATATCTGGAGGAAAGGACAATTCAAAGGTAGCTTTCCAATAACTTTCATGTACAGCGATTTACTTTTTTTTTTGAAAATTGTTTTTGTTTTAAATTCAGTATTTTTCTTTGATTTCTTGGACTGTGTCCTTTTAGATTCCAATGTGTAAACCGGGTGACAGAGTGGCACTTATTTATCCGAATACGGAGCCATTAGCGTTTTTGGCGGCTTTCTATGGCTGTATTCTGGCTGGTGTGGTGCCAGTCCCTGTAGAAGTTCCTTTGACGAAGCGGGTGAGCCACAGCGTCATTTTTTCCACTGTGAATATCCACTTACTTTTTTTACTTTACTTTTTTTGAATCTGTTTTGCTTAGGATGCCGGAATACAGCAACTGGGATTTCTGTTGGGCTCCTGCGGAGTGAAAGTTGCCCTAACGTCGGATACCTGTTATAAAGTAAGATTCGAAATAATACAGTTTTTTCCCTTTTTTTTTTTGTTCCTGAAGAGGGCCATTGTTTTTTTGGTAACCATTGAAAAGTACAGTTTGCACCAGCGCTGAAAGCGCTTTGTTCCAATATGTAGTAGTATCCCAACCGATCAGCCGCAACGTGGAATTGGCCTAGCGTTTTTTCTTAGTCATCTCACCGGAACGTCTCGTTCATGCTGCTCCTAAACTACAATTTATTTTCGAGCTGGAGCCCTCATTAATACATTTATCGATGTTTTGTGTTTTAAATTACTTTTTTTATGAAATTGCATTTTGTAGTGCTTTGTACTGGGCTTTACATGGATAAGCCTATGCTATTGATCCTTCAATTTGATTGAATTGCATTTGAAGGGTCTCCCGAAGAGCACATCATCAAGCCAATTCCCACGAAGCGCCCCATCTGGGTCCAGCTCTTTGACAGGCGGTTCCCAAGAAGTAGTTGACTTGAAATCATGGCCTCGTCTATACTGGGTTATAACAGAGCATCTGGTGAGTTGAAGATTGCAGTTTAGCTTGTTTTTGGTTGTTGGTTGTTCTGAAAATGTTCTTGACTTTTTTCCTTTATCTTAGTCGAGTCCTAGTGGTTATGGTGTAATGTATTCCAGGGAAAACCTTCACGTGACTGGACAGCACCACCTCGAGTGGCTGACGAGAGCATCGCCTACATTGAATATTCCTGTGATCGTGAAGGGGCTGTTAAGGGAGTATGCATTACAAGACAGGCTATGCTTGCTCATTGCCGAGCGATCACTACCGCCATGGAATACAAGCAAGGTGATTTTTATAAGTAAATACTAGATTATCGAAGTGATAAAGTTTCATGAAACCCCGTTCAAGAGAGTATATGGCACAACTTTTTGGTCTTCGCATAACTTCTGGGTCTGGAACCATGGTTTTCCATATAATATACCATAGAGATAACTTGCTCACTTTATGGGATACTTTGTGGGAAAAATGGGTCAACAGATTCATTGGTTCTATTAATTTTTTTGNAGACAGGCTATGCTTGCTCATTGCCGAGCGATCACTACCGCCATGGAATACAAGCAAGGTGATTTTTATAAGTAAATACTAGATTATCGAAATGATAAAGTTTCATGAAGCCTCGCTCAAGAGAGTATATGGCATAACTTTCTGGTCTTCGCATAACTTCTGGGTCTGGAACCATGGTTTTCCATATAATATACCATAGAGATAACTTGCTCACTTTATGGGATACTTTGTGGGAAAAATGGGTCAACTGATTCATTGGCTCCATTAATTTTTTTGACCTGAATCTTTCTAATCTATGAATCGGAATGCCTTCGGTTAAGTATCTAGGGCTTTGGATAATAATTATTGACAGTTGTAATATCTCCGTGTCCGTCAGAAAAACTGCACGAGATTTTCAGGAGAAACTATGGTCTGCGTGTTAGATTTCAAACGAGAAGTTGGTCTTTGGCATGCAGTACTAGCAGCTGTTTTCAATGGAATGAGGGTGGTGTTCGTGCCTTACTCGCTGATGAAAATCAACCCGGCAAGTTGGATGTTACAAGCAACAAGATTGCAAGGTGCTTATTTTTCAAGTCGTGTAACCATTTCCCTTAAACCTATTGGAAATATTTTTCATTTTACTATTTATTAACTGTACGTTGACAATACTGAAATCAAAGTTGTTGGCTTTGTTTATAGCAGTTTTCCTCGCTGACATCGGGGCGCCATCATACAAACTGAAGTATTGGGCAGAGGGGTGATGGAATCGGTTTTTAGGAATTAGTTTGTTGGAGGCCGGTAGAGAGTATCAGCACGGGCACCACATTAGTCATCAGGTACCAAAAACGCCTTACTCTATCACGATTGCGTTCAAGTATTGTCAAGAGGAGCGAAAGTTGCTTGAAATGGTATTTGGCTTGAGATACCTTACAGTCGTTCTTATACTTGCCGACTTTCCATGTGATCGGACTGCTGACGGCTCTGGTCGATGGTTTGCGTGGATCCGTATGACGTATCCGATCGACGAACTCCTCCTGGTCTTTGGTACATTAGTGTATGTGACGGAATGTGTGAAATGGAATGCGCAGTTGCAACCTCCGTTGGAGACCAAAGGGCAGTAACGAAGGTCGGAGCTCTGCATTCCATATCTCACTTCGGCAAACTCAAAATAAAGGGCTTTGTTCAAAGCGACGGTGAATTCCGTCGACTTTTTCAAGTCTTGCTAATGATGTCCATTACTTTGGAATTATTACCCAGCAGTCTGCGGATGGAGTCGAGGACAGTTGGAATCTGTTGCTGCTTTAGGGTCACAATTAATGTGCAAGACATAGATTTTTTCGGTTGAAATTCTCTTAGGGAAAACTCCATTCGTACACCACACCGGCCGTCACTATCTAGCACTGGCTGGTATAATGCCACATGTTGAGATTGATTGAATTACATCAAGAGAAGGAAGAAGTGTGACAATGAAGAGGCATTCATCACTTTGATATCTTAAGCCGTTGATGCATTTTGCTGGGGTGCAAATAGTGTGCCGAAGAATGAACGAAGCTAGCTCTCTCACATTTTGAGCCAGAGGGTTCCGAATGGTTTTATTCGATCACGGTCACGGTACACACGTAGTCACAGGTGACAATATCGTAGACAAGCCTCCTATCCGGGTCCCTTTCAAGTGACGCTTGAGAGCCTCCGCAAACTGTTTTGCATAATTCCGCCCTTTGGACTTTGCCAGAATTTCCTACATTTTTAAATATAATAATAATATTGGTGTCAGTCTCTTTTATTAGTGCACTTTGATGCTTGGATTTTGGAGCTCGTTCCTGTCAGTGGGGTGGTAATAGCTCCACCATAGCTTCTACGAACCCGCTGACAATCCTCTAGTTAACGAGTGCCAAATATTGGAATTAAGCAACGCTGGGACCGAGTCTGAATACTCATTCCTGTCCGTCTGCACAGAGCAAGCGCGCAAGAAAAATCTAATTCGAGAAACCCTGTGAGAACATGGCATCGGGCATAAATGAAGGTTACTATCAAATAAAGGTTTTGCGGCAGAATGGTGAAGTAGTGACTTTCTGAAGGGTTAAAAACGTAGAGCTCATTTCCCATGTAGTTTGTAGTCACCTGGGTCTCCCTCACCTAAGTAATCCATTTCCCCATTTTTCCTTATCACCCGTACGATCCGCATCATGCAGCATATTAATACTTTATCGAATTACAGTAAGAATTAGATTCCCTCCTGATTTTCGTCTATGTCGATGTCTTTGTGGGGAAAGAAGAGTTACGTAAAGGCACATACCGTGAGCTTGATCCACAATAACGATCCAAATATCATAACGAGTATCCGAGAGCTA